CAATTTACAATATATTACACAAATGCAATTACCTTTATATCATACAATATTAATAGCCATAATTTAGTTTTTTACCTTTATTTCTACTTAATCCCAATATAATAGTAACATTTCTAAAACTCTGTGCAAAAAAACAAATTGATATATAGATATGGGACGAAGGAAGTACTTAAATTTACTAATAATTTTTTAATTATTTTTTAATCATATTTTACCTAAATTCTTGTGTCCCAATAACATGCTCAAATTATCTAGTACGGATGAAGTAAAAGATGTGACTAAGGGATTTAAAGAAAATCAAATTCAAATCCTAATATATTTTTAAATAAAGAATATTTATGAAAATAAACCTTAATTAATGATTGCTGTGTCAGTAATTAAATAAAAAGTAAAGAATCTAGGCTGACATGGCCCGCGATTTTCTGCCAAGTGAAATATTTCGAACGTCGTTGGACTTGAGGCCCAGATTTCATCGTAGCCGTTGATTTTTCGAAGCAGTTTAATGGTCCCACACAATCCTACGTACAATGCATCTGGCGCAAAAGTCCCGGCTCTTCTTAAACTTATCAAAACCCACAGTGTCCTACCTAAACATTTATGAATTCTATCAGAGGTCGACACGTGTCCCCGTGGGACCCTTACCTTTCTGTTCCCTCACATTATTTATGTTACTTAAAAAAATACTTTATCCTACTCGTATTTATTTATGTATTTTATTTTTATACGAAATTTTAGAAATATTAATAGTCCTTCCATCCGGTATATATATTTCTATTTTAAGACATCAAATTATAAAATAATTATTTCGTTAAATTCCTTATATTTTTTTAACAAATACTCTTACTTTACATCATATCGTTACTTTTATTAAAAATAAAATAAAGACAAAAATATCATTATATTACTTTAAACTACCAACTATAATTAAAATACTATTCTTTCTTAAACTTCGCGCCAAAAGTAAATATATATTTATTGTTTGGACGGAGGTAGTATTACTCGTCCCCAATCTATCTATCCATTTGCTTTTTGTACAAAGTTTTAGAAATATTAGTATTATATTGGGATAAAGTAGAAATAAAGGTAAAAAGACTAAATTAATCCTATTAGTATTGTATGATATAAATGTAATGACATTTGTGTAATATATTGTAAATTATAAGGGTATTTGTAATGTTAGGTAAATAGTACAATTACTAAAAAAAGGAAACAGATACTTTGCTATAAGATGGACCAAAATGGAAAAATGAATATATTGTTAAGGGACGGAAGGAGTATTAAAATAAAGTAAAAATATTAAACTAATTTTATTAGTATTGCATGATATAAAAGTTGTATATTATATTGTAAATTGAAATAATATTTATAATATTAAATATATAATAAAATTACTTAAACAAATAGATACTTTGTTATAAGACTGATCATAATAAAAGATATATAGATTGTTAAGAGACGTGAGAAATATTCCCTCATTATAGACTTTTTATTTGGTTTTTTTTTATGCGAACTAAAATAAATTAGTATTTTATAAACATGTAGTATAATAAAAGTATTTGCTATTTAGTTAACTTTTTTTTATATAAAAAATGAAATGAAAAATTTTGACTTGAACTCGTTTCACAAAAAAATAACATATTTTTTATTTTAATTTGTCTCATAATAATTGATTTATTTTTACAATTAGTTAAATATTCAATCTTAAATATAATTAACAAATATAAAACAAGCTAATTAAATTTTTTTCAGTTTACATGTAGACAATTAATTTATTTTTATTTTTTAATTATCTCTTCCCCAATCAAATTAATTAAATTTTTTTATATATATGACTCACTCACAATTTCCTTGTTTGAATTTGTTCTTAATAAATAAATATTTTTATTTAGATTTTTTTATAAAATTAATTTATATTAATTATAAATAAATAAAATATTTTTTATTTTTAATTATATTATATAAATTTTATTCTCTACAAAATAAAATTTATATTTTATTGAGATATAATTTAAAGATATTTAAATAATTTTTAAATCATCTATTACCGTTTAAAAAACAATAAGATAATATTATAATTTATTAATTTAAATTTTTCTAAAATACTTTTTCAAAATAAATGTGTTAATAACGACTATTTTCATAAAAGTATTACTAAAAAAATTTCTTTATTATTTTTTTACAATTATTAAAAATGAATATTCTTTCAATCATAACAGCAATTTATTGTTACCAATTATAATGGTCTGATTAAATAATTGGATAATATTTCAATAACAAAAATAATTATCCAAACTTCACATATTTCGAAGCCCCACCGAACTCTGACCTGTTTTTGAGCAACCTGTGAATTCTCCTTTATGCCCTCAAACAATGACGTGTACAGCAGCAAGTCCGTTCAATAATTCTATGTCCTTTTTCGTCTTTTCACCACGACAGATCGGCAAACGGGGACGGATCTTAAATCCAACTAACGACACGCCAGGGTGTTTCCTAAGGATTACATTGGGTATTTCACTTAACGCCGTTTATTTTTTTAACGGCGACCGGCCGGTTCCCTACCAACGAGGTATATTATTCTCTACATCGGGTCCACAGTGAAGCTACCGGCGTCCACCGTCGGATTAGGATGTGTTTGGATATGATTTTTTTGCATATTTTGAAATTTTTGAATTTTAAATAAATTGTAAATATTTATTTTTTTAGTAACTATGACTATACTATAAATACTTCTAAATTTATACTAATATATTAAATTAAAATAAATAGATAAAAGAATTACACAAATTTAAAATACCATAAACTATTATTTAAATATATACTACATTTGGTAACGATCTCATTTATTTTGTGTCGTATTGATCTTTAAATATTAAGTATTATATTAAAATATAGTATAAATTAAAAAAAATATGCAAAAAATACTTCAATTAATATCTTATAATACTAATAGAGAATATTTGTACAAAAATTATAGAAATATAAATATATTTTTAATGTTAAGTATAATGACACAAAATATAAATGTGACCGTTAAGGCGGACGGAGGGAATATTATATTTTTTTAATTTCGGTACAAATAACAAATGTATATCTTGTTAGTAGACAAAATATACTCCCCCATTCATAGATAATTTGGGTCTATTACTATAGATACAATAATTTAAGCAAAAAATAATTAGAAAGTAATAAAAAAAATGTGCTAGTAAAAATAATTACTATATAATAAAAATAATTATAAATTAAAATAAAAATTATGAATTATGAAATTTTTAAAAATAAAGTGTATGTTTGTATTTAAAAAAATGACAAATTAAGTGGAATTGACGAAAATAGAAAAAATTCCACGAATAAAATGAGACGAAGAGAGTATTATCTTTTAATTTACTATAAAACTTCAAATAGCCTACTTGAAATTGGTATGAAACCAATATATAAAATTTCTATTTGTGAAAGTGAGATTCTAAATTAATGTGATGATAAAATAAATTAGCATTTGTTGAAAATAATAATAATAATAATAATAATAATAATAATAATAATAATAATATGTTCAATTTTATTTACTATAATACTCCGTTCGTCCAATTGAAAAGTTGTCATTCTATTTGCGTCCGTCTCAAAACAAGGTTACCATTTCTTAATTTAATAATTGTACTACTTACATAATATAATAAATACCCTTTTCAATTTACATTATATTATACAAATACCATTACTTTTATATTACACAATATTAATAGGGATATTTTTGTTTTTTTTTTTTTTCATTACCATCTATTATTATACTAATATTCACAAATCTACATGTAAAAAGTAAACTACAATCTTACACCGGAACGAATATAATATATTTTATAGTAAAATATTTTCTTTACAGTAATATACATTTCAAAACTTTATTTTGTCGTTAAAATTCTATGTTAATAGTATTATGTATAAAATATATTATGGTGTTCGTTTTTTTTTTTTTAAATAATTTGTTAGTATTCAATTAATTAATTTTCCTAATTTAGCATAACATGTTTTCTAATGAAAATTAATAATGTGTCTATATTATTATTATAATTTGAATTGCCGTTTGAACCCATTTTTAATGAGATACTCTAGTATTTATTAAATACAATGTGTAAATTTAAAATGAAATTTAAATAAAAGTATTTAGTTAGATGAAAAACATTACTTTCTCCGTTCACTGCAACGGTAGTATTTGTGTTTGACGCGATTATTAAAAAAAATAAATATTTTATTGAGATAGTGACAAAAACAAAATGATATTTCAAAAATTTAGTTAGAATTAAAAAAAAAATAATAAGAGAATGTAATAACATTAGTGATATTTGTTTGTAAATAAATGTTGAATGAAATGTAATAATATCTCCGTCCAGAGGATTTCATTTACTTTTTGCGTGTTGATATTTGAATATTAATTATTATATCAAAATGTAATACAAATTAAGAAAAAATTACAAAAATACTTTCATTAGTGTCTTATAATACTAATAGAATGACATTTGTACAAAAAAAAATTATACAAATATAAAGATATTTTCAATGTTAATATAACGATGAAAAAAATAAATATGACAATTGAAAAGAATAATATTTATTGATTTATTAATTTGACGTGAAAAAAATCAGCAACAGACTTGCAAAAAAAAAAAAGAATAAATTTAATAGATAAAAAAAAACACTTTCTTTATTTTAAAAATTTATTATATTATTAATTTTAATAAAATCAATAAATCAATATTTAATTTTAATAATTTTTAAAAATATATAAAATAAAAATAATAAAACAAAATAGCATGGGCCCCACGGCCTAGGTTTAGGCTCGGCGCAGAGGATAGTATGATATATACATACAGATAGACATACACAAATGCATACATACATATTAATATTAAAAATATTATTATTATTATTATTATTAGTAAATTATTTTAATTGAACCCATTTGTAATAACAAGAGTCACACAAAGTACAAATGCATATTTTCACAACAGCGCCTAACTCGTCGGAAAAAAAAAAGAAAAGGTTCCTTTTTTTAGAAACCAAAAATTCGCAAAATAAATAAACATCGCAACTCTCCCCTTCAATTCCCTTTCGTCTCTAAATCTTTGTTCATCTTCTTCCTTTTTTTGCTCCATCCTCTTTCTCTCTCAATTTTCATTTCCTCGCCGGCGGTCGTTCGGTCGGCGTCGGCGACGGCGGCGGAGGCGTTGCCGGTCAGTAGGTAGGTGGAAGTTGGGAGCCGAATTGTTACGGATACGATCCTTTCCTTTGCTTTGCCTTTTATCTCTCTCTTTTTTTTTTTTTTTTTGTGATTTTTGATTTTTTGAATGAGGTGTGAGAGAAATAAGGAGAGAGAAATGGGCGATGGTAAATGTGATTAACGTGCAATGCAGGGAAAATCAGCGAGGGAAAAATATTAGGAGAGAGAAAGGCACAATCGGTGAAGAAGCGTTGGAGGAGGTTATTTGCACGGCACAGATACCTAGATCTCTTCTTCAATCTCCTTCCTCCGTCTCCTTCCCCCTTCCTTGCCTTTGCTAACAATTTATTCCCCTTTTCTATTCGTGTTAAATTCCGAAGGAGAGAATCAATCGATTGATTGATTGATTGATTAATTAATTGCTCAATCATTGCGGTGCTGCTGCTGTTGGTGGTGGTGTTGTTGCTGCCGCCGCCGTCTCCAGCTTCGTTTTCGGTTTGATTTTGTTTGCTGCTTCGGAAATTTTGAATTTCCTTCCGCTATTTTTCGCTGGGAGAAGATGCAGTAATATCGGAGGTATGTTTTTTTTTTTTGGTGTTTTGCTGTGATTCTGCGTTGAATTTCGTTGAATTTGAGTTGTTTCCGCTTCGATCTTCTGCGAATTTTGTGGTTTCGCAACAGATTTTGTGGATCGTGTTGAATTCCGGATAATTAGGGTTTCTGTGTATAATTTCGTCTCAGAATTTCTGCTGATCTGTTTGATTCTCGAGAATTTTAATTTGGGGGAAATCGAAATTGATGGCATTTCTTTAAGTACTGTTCTTGTTATTTCTTTTCCAGATTTCAGACATCGTAAATGCTCGTTTTTCCGAACTATTAATTGCCATTTTCAATTCGAGCTCTGGGAGTTTAAATGCTGCTGCTGTATTTATGTCAATTTTCTCGAAACAGACCTGTTGTTTATTTGGCAACCATTAATCGAAATTATAACCCTAAATTCTATCCACACTACTTGTAACAGAACAAGATTGTGATTCAATTGAAGATACATTGTAGCATTTCTGTAAGTTATACCAATGTATTGATGTAATGGATTATAGATGTCCTGAAATTTCTGTTTCCTATCAGGTTTATTTATCTTGTGAGGTCTTCTTGAACAATTCTTTTCAAATCGAAACTCGATTTGCGTTGAGAAGATCTTCGAAACTTATTTGAGATGATGAACTCTGGGGGCTTTTCTACCTCATCGTTCTTTTCCGAAGATGTGTGTTACTCCAACGAGGTATTGTTCGATTTCGAAATTTTATTACAGGAAATGAGGATGTTACTAATCTTTCGATATGTTTCCGTAGAGACAGGTCGGTGCGAGGAGGATGGATCACATGAATGGTTATTTAGGTAAGCTGTTTAGTTTAGTTTAATTTAGTTTGAGCTGATGGTCTAATCGCGTGTCGTTTAGCGTAAAAATGGAATCTTGGTGCGCTAAATCTTTACATTGTCGGTATACAACTTTTGTCTGAGCTTGAAATTTAATGCGATCTCGATATAGACATGAATCGAAATTGTCGGTATAGAACTCTGTCCGAGCTTGAAATTTAATGCGATCTCGATATAGACATTTTGTTTGTCGTAAAGTTGCTATGTTTTGATTAGCTCTCCACGTGTTCATTTTTCGATGTTTTTCGATCTCGCATCGTTGTTTGGCATTTTTTGACGTTCCTTAGTCTTTCCGAAGATTAATTTGTCGTTTGTGGTCGCTTGCAGGTTTAAAATCTGACGGAACGTCGCCGCTCGAAACAAGAGTGCCACCCGATTCGTCAATGACGAATACTTTCACTCTCCCCAACAATTACGTGATTCCGAATCAAAACATTAACATGTCGTTGGGGAAGCGAATCGTGGGAGCTGAAAGATCCGTTAGTCGTTCCTTGCCGAACGCCGACCACGACGTCGGCGCTCGAAATAGTTCGAATAGAGACTCCGCGCCGTATCTTTTCGAAGGTGATAAAGTGAATTTCCTCGGCGCCCAGCACGAGAACGGTCTCTTTTCAAGCTCGTTATCAGATTTAATTTCGCGGAACCGTACGTTGCGCTTCCTTTCCCTAAAACCATTCTCAATTAAATGCTTTACTTACATATTTTCCTATATGCAGAGAGATTATCGTCGAGTAATGCTGCATATGCTCATTCTGTTGCGGCTAACGGTACCGTCGATTCCCGTTATGTCGAAGAAGAGGAGGCCCTCGAGTCGCTCGAAGAACTCGAGGCTAAAACTATCGGTAATCTTCTCCCCGATGATGATGACTTGCTTTCGAGCGTGACCGATGGGCTTAATAAAATCATCCTACAAAACAACGGAGAAGACGCTGAAGATCTCGACCTTTTCAGCAGCGTTGGAGGATTAGAACTCGGAGAAGATGCATTCCCTCAGAGGACTAATCAGCTGACAAGTTCGAACGGCGAACGACCGTCCCGAATGCTGTTCGTCGGAAATGTAAGCCACGACGTCGATGATTCCGAACTCCAACGGCTATTCGAGGTAAAACATCCCCGATTTTTTAAAAATTGTGATTTGATCATCTTTTTCGTGTAGTATTCATAAATTTCGTGGCTGTAGCAATATGGGGATATTCAGACAATGTACACAGCGGGCGAGCAGCGGGGTTTCGTCGTGATCTTGTACTATGATGTAAGATCCGCCTGCAACGCTATGAACGCGCTACAGAACAAACTGTTGATGGGTCGGAAACTCGATGTACACTTCTCGGTTCCTAAGGTGCGCGCCGTACTTGCAACCTTTGATTCTTTTCGCGTCGCCGGAACTACTATGTTGTCTGAATCGTCGCCTGATCTGTATTTTCCAGGAGAATCGACCGGAAAAGGGTGTAAATCAGAGCACTGTTTTGGTTTTCAACCTCAATTCTAAAGTTTCAAACGGCGAACTCCGTGAGATTTTCTCCGCCTACGGTGAAGTCAAGGAGGTAACTTTTCTTCCGGTAAATTTCCGAGTTTTTACCTTTCGCAATAAACCGAAATGCTGACTCTTGGATTTGGCATTGGATATGTAGATTCGCGATGCGCCGCAGTTACCCCATCACAAGTTTATCGAATTTTACGATGTTAGAGCGGCGGAAGCCGCACTCCGTGCGATGAACGCGACCAACATTGCGGGAAAGAACATTAAAGTCGAACCTCTCCGACCGGGTCTTCATCTGCAACAGCGAAGCTCGTCGACTCGATTTTCAGGTAATTTCATTTCCTTACAGAATTCGCCGGTTTTTAGTCGATAGTAATTAATAAAACTGCGACGATTGTATCATCAGGATCATTGTCGTTGGGCGAAACCCCGCTCGGTTCGGATAACCGAACGATGCTCTCCTCGGTGACCACAAACGGAACCCACATAAATCCAATCCTGGATATCGTCGTTCGTCCCGCAGCGTTGTCGAGTGCTTCCAACAGCCTACCGTCTCAGGCCCGAGTCGAACCCGTATCCCGTCCTGGCATTACCAAACCGACCCACATTCCGAATCTCCTGAAATACGAGCTCCCTGGTATCCCGAATCTTCATCCTCACTCGCTTCCCGAGTATCACGATGGCTTAGCCAACGGTCTTCCTTATGGTTCGGCTAATAACATCGCTTCGAACATCAGTCCCCGACTTTCGCAGATGATCGATACCCAGCAGTTTCGTCGAGTTAACTCCAACGGACTCGCCATCGAAATGACCGACGGTAATCTCGACGCGAAAAAAGATTTCATTTTTTCTTTACATTCCGAATCGAATCTAAAATTACGCTTACGCACTCGATTTAGCTTTTTGTTCGCCAGGAAACGGGAGCGGTCCTCCCCGACGTCACTACATGTGGAGCAATTCGCCACAGCCGCAGCAGCCTCAGGCAGTTATGTGGCCCAATTCGCCGTCGTTCGTCAACGGAATCGGCGCGATTCCTAGAGCCCCGTCGCATATGCTAAATGGGATTGTGCCGCTAAACGACCATCAAGTAGGGTCTGCGCCATCCGTCAACCAATCTATTTGGGACCGACGGCACGCTACATACGCCGCGGACTCGCCCGATGCCTCGGCGGTATTCCACCCGGGTTCGCTCGGGAACATGAACTTGAGGCTTTCGAGTAATTTGCCGCCACACCCGATCGAGTTCGTCCCTCACAACATGTACCCGTGCACCGGCGGAAGCTATTCCGACATGCCGGTCCCGTCGAAGAACATTGCAATGCACCCCCATAACCCAAGGCCCGTGATTTTCCCGACGACGGCAGCGGCAGCGGCGGCGGCGGCAGCGGCGAGAGGACAAATGCATCATCCTATGATGGGTTCTTTGGATTCTCCTAACGAACGGACTCGTAATCGCAGGAACGAAAGCAGCTCGGCCCAAGGCGAGAACAAGAAACAGTTCGAGCTCGACGTCGAGCGTATCGTTCGTGGAGAAGACAAGCGGACGACTCTTATGATCAAGAACATCCCGAACAAGTACGTCGCGATTATTTTCCGATTTCCTTTTTTCGATACTTTTTACCGAATTTTTTTACGGCTTCCGTGATAGGTATACCTCGAAGATGCTTTTGGCTGCAATCGACGAGCGCCATAAGGGGACTTACGACTTCATTTATTTACCCATCGATTTTAAGGTACGGCTACTTATACTTTCATCCAGCTGTAAAAATTTGATTATTTCATATTTTTTTAATGTCGGTCGCAGAATAAGTGCAACGTCGGATACGCTTTCATAAACATGATCGATCCGTCCCTAATCGTTTCATTCTATGAGGTACGTCGCATTCCCTTATGAAAAAAATAGTCGTAACGTCGTAAGGATGAATCGAGCATAATACAATTTTGCTTACGCAGACGTTCAACGGGAAGAAATGGGAGAAATTCAACAGCGAGAAAGTAGCGTCGTTGGCGTACGCTCGAATACAAGGCCGGGCTGCGCTCATCGCTCACTTCCAAAACTCGAGCCTGATGAACGAGGACAAGCGATGCCGGCCAATACTCTTCCATACTGACGGCCCGAATGCCGGAGATCAGGTATGTCGACCTTTTATTACATCCTCGACGAAATCGAACTCGGACGTACGTGTCTATCCGCCTTTATCATAAAAAATCGAAGCGTTTTAACTTCGGAAGTTCCGATCTTTCTTGAAACAACATTTGGAATTACTTCAAATATATACTTCTTATGTCCGCGGAATTTATTTCTATTTTTCTTTTTAGTCCGTCCGTTAAATTTATGTCATTACTAATTTTGGTAATGTTAACAAATCAACTTTTAATTATTACTATTCATTCAACTTATTTATGACAAATATCACTATTTTTATTACATTATATCTTTTTATTACTAAATTTTCAAAAATATCTCTTAACTATTTTTTTTACGTATTATTTTTTCAATAAAATATCATTTTTTCTTAATTTTTTTCGCCGGACCAAAATTGACTAATTTTAATGGATGAAGAGAGTATTTAATATGCCCAAATGATTAGTTCAGAGGATTTTACTTTATGAGTTTTCTTTCTGCTCTGATACCATATTAACATATTCACTCCGTCCTATATTTATCTATCGGTTTGCTTTTTGCACGAGATTTTAGGAATATTAATATTATATTGAAATGTATAGAAAATGAAAGTAAAAAGACTAAAATTTCCTCAAAGTAAAAATTTATTGTAGTGGTATATTTGTAAAATATAGTGTAAGTCTAAAGGTAATTTTAATAATAGGTAAGTATTACCATTACTAAAAAAAATATATATATTTTGTTTTTAGAAAGATCAAAATAGAAAAATGAATTAGATAGTTGAGGGATTGAGGAAGTATATAGTTTGCAAATTCTAATATTGATCTTTCTTTACGATCGACGCAGGTTCCTTTCCCGATGGGCACTCACATTCGACCCCGACCCGGAAAAATCCGAGCCAACACCTCCGAGGAGAACCACAACAACATTGCCCCGCAAAACGCTCTAACCGGGGAGGATTATTCGAACGGAGATTCGTCGTCGAGTTCAGGCAAAGATTCAGACTGAGTTTGATGCCTTCTTTTTGGTGATCTCTACTAACTTATTAGGGAGAAGAAAAAAAAAACGTAAAAAAGATTGATCGAACTAAACGAACGGCCTAGTAAATTGCCCGGAAAAATTTTGCGATTTGTAATTATGGTCTCGTAAGTTTATGGTGAACGGAAGATCGAAAGGATGCTAATTTCATGCGAATTTTTACTGACATTGAGAAATTTTTGCATGACGGGAGATCGAGGATGTGTAGAGTTTTCGGGTTATGGCGAAAATTGGCTGTACGGAAACGATATACTGCTTGATATATTTCCCGTGTATCTTTGGGCGCTGTGTATTTGATTGAGGCAGTTTGGTGATGGAAAGTACATGTGATTTGCTGTTAGAACAATTTTGGTGTGAAGGGACCATTATGAAGGCCGTTAAATCTTTACTCCACTTGGATTCAGAAGCTCCCTTTTTTTTTTTTTTTTTTTATTATTATTTTTTTATATCAAAAGTACATTTGTTATTATTATTATTATTTAGTAAAATCAATTATACACTAATATAAAAATATACCTTTAATTTTTATTTAAATTAGAAGCATATCATTATATGTATAATTATTTTATAAAAAAGTCAAATCCAATAATATCAAAATCACTTATACACTCTTACTAACTAATAACATATTAAAATATTATTATTTTTTAATTTACTACAAAAACACCAATAAAATATTACAATGTCCACGTTACATCTCACATCCCATGTCATTTTTTTTAAAAAATTATTATATACTTTAATTTAATTTTAAATTTTTTAATTTAAATTCTTTAAATTTTAATTAAACTAATTAGTTATATTAATTTTAATTTATAATTATTTATTCTTAATTATCTACTAAATCCTGGTGTCCAATGACCCAAATATCCAATATGAAAGGAAAAAATATTATTTTTTAATTTACTAATATTTATGAAAAAATATACACTTGAAAAACACAAACTAAAAAACACCCGTAATTTTATTGTGACGAGGCATACTAAATTTGCGTAGAAAATACGTGTACTCTTTAAATTTATTATGATGTGATGCACGCTAGAATTGCATTGAACTTACGTGCATTTGTTCGTCCTTGTACATTTTAAGAGAATAAATTTTGAATATGACATCTTACCAAAATAAAATAAACAATAGAATATGACTTATATTTTAATAAAAATACACAAAACACCATATATTTTATTTATTGCGTTAAAATTTCTTTATATTAATGTAAAATTTGCACCAAACATATTTAGTCCAAAACTAATGTTTAATTTTAAATAAAAGACTTAAATTACATAAATTTTATAATATTATAAATAAATAAATAAATAAATAATTGATTAATTATTAGTTTAATTTTTTTATTTTTTTTCAGATAAATTGTTATCTGACTTAAAAAGAAAAACCTACAAACAAAATCACATCCTAATTTGTTGAAGAGGAAGATCATAATTATATCTTTTATTATAAAAAATTTAACAAGTTAAAAGCATAATAAACCATTCTTCAACAAGAACACCAATTCAATTCAGCTAAGTTCATTAGAGAAATGGAAGAAATTCGAACTTACTTGGAGTAGAGGATGTCGTAGTGACCCGGCCGGTATAGCAACGTCACAAACGGTTCGACTCCGACCGCCGCCGCCGCCGTGCTTTCTCCGCTATTATTTTTAGCATTTTCCGATGTGGGGATGAAGTCGTGGTGGTTTGCGCTCACGTTACCTTTCTCGTCGTGGCTTCGGTCGAGGTACACTACTCGGATCGGGACGCCCAATGCGTCTGACAAAGCTGTTATGTGGACGTGGTCGCTCTCTTCGCCCATCGGTTCCACCGATGACTTGCAAAACTGCACAAGACAACAAGTAATATAATAACATAGTGCATACAATTTTATGTTAATATAATACAAATACAACCCATCAATCGACAACAAAACCAAACAGACCCTTATTGCATAAAATATGCATAGGACCTCTGTTTCTAAGTACAAACATAATATATATTTTTAGAAGAAAATTACTCGGTCCGTCCCACATAATTTGTATATTCTCTATTTCGACTGTTCCACATAATTTGTCATTTTTTTTAAAGAAAAAATATAATTATACACTTTAATCATATTTTAAAATTCATAATTTATAATATATTTTTTATTTTAATTAAATTATTCAGTCATCTTAATTTTAATTTATAATTATTTTTACTAATATACTTCATAATGCTTAAAACTCTATGCTCCACCTAGAGCGGACAAATTAGTTGGAAGCGAGAGAGTACTAAATTGAATCATACAAGTACACAAGATGTGCAAAATGTAACAATGAAAATCTATTTTTCATTGAGATATTACTTCAAAAACTTATTTTTAAGTAAAAGAAATTTCAAATTCAGAAAACCCCGAAACATTTTAAAACACTTCAAAGCACATCCAAACGCATCATACGATTTCTAATAAGATCCATGTTTAAAAAACAAGTGAATTGCAGCAAAAAAGACATGTAGTGACTAATGATCTAGGTGGTTTGATGTTGCAGAAAGTTTCGATGCGACTAACCTGCTCGACAGAGGTATTTGTTAAACCTTGAATAAAGGGTTCAAAAAACTCCGAACGCTTTCTTATTTCACCGGTGGTGATAAATCTGAAGAACATGACAACTGGACAACAAAAAAAGCATTAATCGAAAGATGAATGTATATCTAAAGGTTACCGAAAGATCATGTGCGGGATGTGTGTTTTGATATTCGAGAAATGTTCCAAAGGGACAACTCACCATAGTCGGACACTGAAGGATCTCTACATCTTTGTACAAGTTTGTCATGGCTGTGATCGTATTAACAGAAAAATAAATAAATTAGCATACAGGCGACGAGATGTAAAGAAGAAAAGAAAATGTCGAAGAGCAGTAGAAATAAAGTGAGAGTCTGAACTCAATTGAATCTTCATTTCCCGGAAGAACACTGTCAAGTTGCTCAAGGAATAGCTGTAAATAAAGTTGATGCATCGAGGAATTTAGCTTCAGCAGATTAAAAAATCGAGCAATTAAGATAAATTAAATTAATGGAGCTAAAAAATCCCAGCAACAACAAAAATTTCATTTTGAAGTAACATAAAAATCAATAATGATGCATCGGAACAAAAAAATGTATAAATTACGATAACAATACCTCAAAAAAATCTTCGAAAGTAAATTCTACATAGCCCAAGCTGAGAAGTGTCTTTCTGCATTCCTCGACACTGTTCTTGATTCGATCAACCTCTGTACGATCTTGTGACTCCAGAATATACTCCTGAATTTTTTGAATTGTTGAACATTTTCGGAATCAGAAGTACCCAAAATGCTCAAATTCAGGTGGAGATATTATGTTAAAGGTGTCAAGAAAGCAAATATACGAGACATACAAGGTAAGCAAACATGAAGCTGCGGAAGAAGCAATTCCCATCTCCCCGAGTTCGTCGGATTGCAGCATATATTTCAGAAATAACCTGTGGGAATTATACCAATTAGGAAAATAGCACCAAAATAAACAGTGTTATAAAATATGCCGACCTTGATTTTCTCCAACAAAATTGGATTTCCCGATTTGTATTCCGCAGCTAATGAAGATAAAGGCTCCTGCAATAGCATAACAAAAACCATCACTCGTGGGAAAAATTAAAATCAACGAGTATCTAACACATAAGGCTTGTGTGAATGGCTTGTAACAGCTTTTGTATACTATAGGAACTTGGATGCTTCAGAAAGTAAGACTAAACTTTTGGTGCCAACATCATATACAATACAAACGGAAAAATTGAATATTAAAAGCTACATTTTTACAGAAAATTATGGAACGGGGATGCCATATCATAAGCAGAAATTTCAGTTAGGAATTTCAAAGATGATCAGGATGTAAATTATCTTTCGCAACTCAAACAGTGTCCATATAAATCTAAACCTATATATAAGATCAATATTTTTTAAACAAAACTATCTCAGTTGTACATGAGAGGGCGTTGACACTTTTACAGAAACACATTACATAAACAGATGAATTTTGCAGACGTTATATAGCAATATTAGATGAACATATAATAGCCAATGATAATTTTCATACCTTGGAAGGATATGCAGAAGTAACATTTTTTTTGTTGTTGAAAAAGAAAGAGAAATGATTGCATGTTGGATTGGTCATTATATTGTAAATGCTAAATTGATTGAAATCAAAAGGTTAAGTTTTGCTAGCATTTCATGCCATATGTGAATATCTAGTAAAAAGCAGTATGTTCAAACGATTTAAGGGTTTCATTACCTTGTCACCGACAAATGGAATTTTCCCAGCTTCTTCAGCCTGTATGGCAGATTTTTGCTGCATAATATCCTCATCCCTGACCTTTCCACAGTTGTTAACTTCAGAAACTTGCATGATAGTTCCTGTTTCGGTATCTGCCACGCTCCCATCCTGGTTTTGCATCTTCGGAGCAGTGAGTGAAGAGAATCTACTTTTCTCTGATTAATTTTGGAGTATGGCTAAGAAGCTATGTCCAGAAAAACACCCTGCATAAAGGAAAGCATGGATGGTATTGGTGCATTTGAATGATGAAGGATCATGACTGGTGTCAAATGCAAATATCGACACAACATACTGCAACTCTAATCAGAAATATTTGACACGGTCATCATGTTAAACACACTATAAATCACTAACATGTTAAACACTGGTCTTACTGAGAAGTGAACCCTCGGTAAACCTACCATTTTTAGCCAAACTTTCAAGTAAGATGAGATTCGTAATTAGCATCCATTGTTTGAATCCCAGTGCCAAGGACTCTTTGAAGATTCATTACAAAAATACGAATTGAAAATAGAAAATTCTTTTCTGGACAGGATGCGTGTGGCCAATCTATCTCCTAATGTTTCTTGTTGCTGCCATCTTCTCCCCTCTAATGCCCCCTCTCCTTCAATCTAATGATCCAATTCGTTTATACGTGTTTGTTTCGGGGTTTGGATATTAAGTTGAGATTTGTATAGTAAAAATTTTGAGTCAGACTAGTTATGATCTGATATAAATAGGTGTTGATGTGATGTCTCCAATGTAAAATTAATTTTTAGTATAATATAACAATTAACAAATAAAAATTAGGTATTTGATTTAATGTTTTTTGGGTAAAAAAAATCTGGTGAATAGTAGAAATCTGGAAAAATCTGCCTAAAGAACACACATCTATCAAAATCCTCAGCTGTTCTAACAAGCAAATCAGCAACCTGACATCACAACTCCATCAACAGAGGCTAGGTGATCTCGAATTTCCTCATTAGTGATATGCTACATCAATTACATGTTCTAATTAAAATTGTAACTCTTCAATTTAAGTTAGCAAATTAAAGAGATATTTATAAGCAGCATAACGCAGTGTGCACCCGATCTCTACAGAAATTTACCCATGGCTCAAGTAATCTAAGGATTAAATCAACTAAATCAGGATTCAGCAGCCCAAAATATGGCCTTTGAAAGCCAATTACTTCTTCTCCATTGCCTTTCAACCTACGTTACACTTCAGCACTCACTAACCAATACCAAATTCTCCAACTCAACTCACTCATAAGGATTAAACGCAGAAGCAATTCAGAAGATTACTTCCAGAACGGAGCAATTATCATTGTGTCGCATACACCCACATGACGGTGATTCATGAAAAGAATCCACAGAAACATCACAAACGGAGCACTTAAACTAAACCGCACAAAAATTACTACAAACAAACTATCAGAAGTAACAGCTTGCATACAAAACGAAATCAAAGCCGATGAGAAGAAACTCAGAAAGAAAATTAATAATAAGGAAAATTACGAAGAATTTAAAACAAACAGCCACCAAATGCTTCCGTTCCTTCAAACTCTAAAGCAGGTGAAAACTAACCGGAAATAGAGAGAGAATCGCGATCTGTGTCGTCAACAAATGAATCGAGCAGCCATAGCCGACTGGAGCAGAGAACCAGAGACGATTAATCACTGTCGCTGATTACGAAAGTTTAATGACAGAAGGATAAATGCAAAAACGCCCTTCACTTTCTTTGTAAATGCAGAATACCCCTCTGACTTTTTATTTTTTTCCTTTTTCAACTTTCTTTATCCAATAGTTACATATGCTTAGGATGGTGTTTTTTTTTATTGGTTTGGAAAAAAATTTGAAATGAATTTGATATTAAAATAATATTTGATGGGATGTTTGTTGAGATAAAATAGTATAATTTTTCGAAAAATACATAGTCCAAATAATAAAAGATCAGAGGTTTAGATCAAAAGAAACAAACCATAAATAAATGGGTAAGTAAGTGCACATGCTGCCGGGATTAATTTGTAATTGTAATATAACGAGTTCAAATTCGATGTCTTTCTATCACACATAGTTCAGTCCCAACTGTTGATTGACTTTCGTTTTTAGATAAATAATTAAATTATATTATTGCATATGAATCTAAAAGCACCTGAACATAAAGAAGGCTTGACTAGAAGAATAAATAGTAAGAGGCTCCAAAATTCTATAGCAGGCCAGAAGGTGAAGCCTCCCAATCTGCCGAGCCGCTTCAAAGAAGGCCAAAGCCTTCCGAATGTGAAGTCTCCTAGTTTGTCGAGCCGCTTAAAAAAAGGCCAGATTCTTCCGAATGTGAAGCTTCCTAGTCTGCCGAGCCACTTCAAAGTTGCCCTAGTTTAGAAGCCTCCTAGTTCGCAGAGCCACCTGCTACCAGGCTATTCCAGCCACCAAGGGGAGTTTAGAAAAGTCAAATGTCATTAAGGGACATGAGACATAGGATGAACCGTCAGAGATCATGTCCAAAACCACTTCGGGATAGTGGTTTGAAGGAATAACTAACCCACTTTCTAGAATTTAGGAAGCAGTTACACTTTCACTTTCTTGGGATTATATTTAGTAAAATTCACACAACCACAAGAACACACATTTGATCCAAACTTACACGTTATCCTTTCAATTTCCTAGTATTTTATCCATATGTTCTTAGTTTTATACAATTATATCTTAATTTCCGTTGTCTTTTTGTTGATTTCATTATAATTTATGTATTTATGTTTTCATACTTGTTCTATCCAAATTCCAATAAATTTGAGTCAAATTTCTAAAATTTTAGCTGGTAAGGCTCGCAATAGTGCAGCGGCTCCACCACAGTGCGCATCATATTCAAAAAAAGGCTCAAAGCCCCTTTCGGAAAAATCTACTTTGAAGCCATATGAAAATTCATTTTTCGGAACCAACAATTGGCACGCCCAGGGGGACCAATGTCGGATTTTACGAGTGACGATGTCAGGGCTTATATAGGGTTCATTTGTACCGCTTGAAAAAAACTACGTAATTGTTAAAGAATATCCTATGCTTCCGGCCTCAGGGCCGGGACGGGCAGGACTAGGCTGGAGCCATCAAGCTGCTGAAGGCTTGGAGAGCAGTACCGAGCCTTTAGCAGAGACAAGTGAATTTCCAGCATTTGGAATGATTCCACCAAGGCAATTAAACGGTCAACCTGTGTGGAATGTGCCGACACCACCATGGAAATATCTCGATCCGTATGTGGCTTATCTCCAATGGATGAGGACGGTCCAAACGTGGGGACAAGGAGGATAGGCTCCAAAAATGGAGTCGCTAACTCCAAATCAACATGAGGCCAAACCTATTTAAGACATTGATGTCCTCAGCGATTGCATTAAGAGGGCACTTTCAAGAAAATTTAAGGAAAAGTTTAGTATTATTTTGGGTGCATAAAATTCAGAGTTAGACAAAGAAGCTTCTGAGTAAGCTCGAGAGGCCCTAGCAGCTCAAGATAAAAAGAAGTATGCAAGGACAGAGGCTCCAGATGATCCAGGGGCCAAGGAGTCTGTACGGAGGCTTCAGAGTCCCTAGCGGCTCCAGAGAAAAGAAATTTATAGGGACAACGATGGCAGTTGATGGCAAGCGAGACGACGACGATAGTTCCAATTGTGAAATAAATTAAGGAAGAAACAAACGCGAAGGCAAATTTGATTCAAGAATTAAAATTTTATTTTATATTTAATTTTTTAAATAAATATATAATATAAATTATATTATATAAAATATATATTAATAATAATTTTAAACATCTGAATTCGAGTGTAGGTCTGAGACAAGTTTTTAGTAAAACCCGCAACCCAAATCCGATTGGATTTAAAATATAAAAACTTCATCAAGTATTTTTATCAATGGGAAAATAAAATCAAATAATATTTTGTAAGAACTTTATTTATATACTTGCTTATTACTCCCTTCATCCCACATCTGTGTCTGATACACTGTAGACACGGTATTTTACAAGAGGTGTAATTAGTATATAATTAAGAATGTATTAGTGACGGCAACGTGAGACTAAGGGATTATTATTATTATTATTGTTATTATTTATCCAAGACAGTTTAATTGGGCCCAATAATGCTTCGGCCCACATTTACTACAGCCCACTTGATCGTTTAGATGGGCTACTCTGTTTCTGGGCCGGTCCAAAAAAGAATTTAATAATTATAGTTCATTTGTAGTTTTTATTAAATTTTTATTTTTTTAATAATGTATTTTTGCTACATATAATTTGATCATGTAATTTATTTATTTTTTTAATTATTAAAGGTTTTGATTAATTTTTTTTTTACACGAATTATATCACTAAAATCGCAAGTAATATTTAAAGTCCACTTAAATTATGAGAGACTCGCATGTATACAAATATATGACAAAAAGTTGCGGCAAATCCATAAAAATTTTCCATAAAATTTATAAACTTAAAAATAAAATAAATTAAAAAAACACAATTTATAAAAAAATAATAATACAATAATATTATTTTTTATAGTTTTATATTTTAAAATATAAAATTAATTATTTAATGGAATTGAATTTAATTATATGAATATTGATGACATTTTAAATTTTAAATAGTTAACTTAAATTATTGGATGATGATACAATTTTAAATTTTAAGTGATGCACTGCAATTTTTTTTTAAGTAATAGCACAGATATTAAATTATACTCCTATGTCTTAGATATCGTGTCTGCTACACTGTAGACACGGTATTTTAGGAGGGGTGTAATTAGTAGATAATTAAGAATGTATTAGTGAAAATAATTATCCTATAATATAAATAATTATAAATTAAGATTAAGATAACTAATTAGTTTAATTAAAATTAAAAAAATAAAATTTAAAAATTTAAAATGAGATTAAAATATGTAATCATTTTCCAAAAAATGAAAATGACATGGTATGTAGGACAGACAGAAACGGCAACATGGACATGGTACCTGGGACGGAGGGAGTATATATTTGGTGGAATAAGATCAGTAGTGTCACATGTCACATGTGCGTTTGGAATTAAATATATTTTCATATGTATGTATCAATTATTATTACTCACTTCTTCCGATTCAAAATATCTTTTTTATTATTTTCGTCAGTCCAATTTTAAAGTATTTATTTTTTTTAGTAAAAGTAATTATACACTAATATCAAAATATTATTACTTTTTATTTAAATTACAATCATATCATTACACGTGCATATATTTTTTTACATAAAGTCAAAAACAAAAAATATCAACTTTTTTTTTATATATTTCTACTAACTAATAAAATACTATTATTTTTTAATTTACTACAAAAATTCAAAAATACCTGTTTCAAAAAGGATGGAGGGAGTATATATTATAAATTTATATAATGTATTTATGTACTTTGTTATTTATATTGCTAAGATTTTCATGTATTTAATAAGACTAGGCATGGTGCAATTTATATTTTTGTCCTTTTCAAAATAATAGTTTTCATAAATAATCATATCACTATAAAATTACCCTTATTTTTTTATTATTATTACACAATTGCCACTACCTTTTACACTAATACACTCACAAAGAGCAAAAATATCTTTTACCTATACTTTTTAGTCACTATCAATATAATATCAATATTCCTTAAATCTCGTGTCCAATAGAACCAAGACTATAGTTTCGGGACAGAGAGAGTAATATATTATACTCCCTCCGTCCCAGATACCATGTCCATGTTGCCGTTTTTGTCCGTCTCACGTACCATGTCACTTTTTTTTTTTGGAAAATGATTACACACTTTAATCTCATTTTAAATTTTATTTTTTTAATTTTAATTAAACTAATTAATTATCTTAATCTTAATTTTTAATTATTTATATTATAGAATAATAATTTTCACTAATATATTCTTAATTATCTACTAATTACATCCCTCCTAAAATATGCAGACATCTGGGACTGAGGGAGTATGAATTGAACGATGTGTTTAAAACATCAATACAATATTGAACATTGTCTTAGTTATTATACTCACTCGGCGCTATTAATTAATTAATATATTAATTTTTTACCATATTTTGAATTATCTAAAATTGATATATTCATAATTTAGTAGTCGTTATAGTTCCATATAGCATTGATAAAATAATATTATTCGCTCTAAGTTATTTTTTTAATTAATATACTATAATTTTTTTATATTTACTTTTGTAAATTTTATAAAAAAAATAAGCATAAAATTGAAGAACAGAGAAAATAAATATTACCATAGACCATATATATAAAAGTATATTATGTGTTTATTTTGTGAAATAATTTTAAAATTTATTTTTTTATGTGAAATATAAATAATTGTGTAAAATTATAAAAAATAAATATATGTAATATATTAAATTTTGGAGAAATGTGTAGAATTTTTTCACTAAAAGAACACACCCGTTGTTACTATTAAATTTTAAGTAGTAATGTAACATATTCAATATTTTATATATCAAATCCCAAAAAATTAATAATAGTTCAATAACGCAATTTTTTTACATATTATTTTTTATTATTAAATACGGTGCTTTTATAATATTGATATATTATTAAATATATTAATTTATATACAAATTAAAATATTACATCTTAATTCATCAACTAATTAAACTCAATATACATAGAGTTGATGTTATAGTGTTGATAGGGTATTAGTCACTGGGACCTTCACAATACATAAAATATAGGGTAAACTGTTTTTTTAGTCCCGTAACTGAACCCTCTTATCATTTTAGTCCCGTAAGTGGAGCCTGTCGCAAACTAGTCCCATAAGTGAAAAATTTTCGTTGTTTTAGTCCTCCGGCGCCGGAGATGCCTGCGTGGCTCGCCGGAGGTGACGTGTCAGCCAGGTGTTGCTGACCTGACGGACACGTGAATTTTTTTTTTATTTTTTTAAAAACTTATTTTTAATTTTATTTGTATTTTTTTATTTGGTCCAATTAAAAAAAGAATTAAAAAATGAAAAAATAATAATAAATCCACGTGTCTACCAGGTGTCGCTGACTTGGCGGGACACCTGGCGGACACATCATCTCCGGCGAGCCACGTAGGCGTCTCCGGCGCCGTAAAACAGCAAAAATTTATCACTTATGGGACTAGTTTGCGACATGCTCCACTTACGGGATTAAAATGATAAATGAGTCCAATTACGAGACTAAAAAAACAGTTTACCCTAAAATATAATTCAACAATACATACTTTATGTAACTATTTTGCCATGAAAAAATTTAACACATATATTTAATTTTTTAGTAAAAATACTTTTTATTTTATTAAAAATATACTACAAATAATGTTATTAAAAACTAAATGGGTCTAAGAAAAAAATTGTCATTTTATTTTTCATTTTATAAAATTCTAATATTAAACTTTAAGTATAAAAATATAAATGATAATATTTGCGTTAAATAAAAAAAAGGTATAAAAGTAAAAATTTTTAAAATATAAAATGATTTCATGCCAACAATTTATATTTGACATATTATTGACTAATTTAAATCAGCACTCTAACCGATATATATATATATGTATATCTATGAAATTGTAGTAAAAGAAATCAGAAAGATATGATGAAATCTAGCTAATGCTTATCCTTTACTTGGCTAAGTTCTTATCTTTATTTTTATAATTTTAATTTTTATTTTATTTATGTCGTCTTCTTTGTTCTCATGAATTTCACTTTTATTTTATTTATTTGTCCCTTTCTATAATTTAAAATTTAAATTAAAGGTGGGCAGTCAGATATGATCATAATTCATACATATCTATCTGCATGGATTTTGTATTATCACCTTCTATACATATCCCTTTTAATATTTTTTTTCCCCTTATTTAATATTCCCCCATCAATTATATATATTCCCCTTACTTTAATTCTGCTTTATTTATTTTTAAATTAATTTACTCTTGATTATATATCAAATATAATAATAATAATAAAAATAAAAATGTAGACATATCCAAATGCCCATAAAAACCCTCATTCCCAACCCTACTTTCCAATTCTTTCCCTTCAAATATTTGTTTTCCAATTAAAAGGGACAGACCAATCTTTGTTCATCGATCTTGAAAGCAACCCATCGACTGTTTCTTAAATTTATTTATTTAGTTATTCTTAAATAGGGTTTTTTGATTAAATGAAAAATTAGGGTTTATTTGAGGGTAGTGTTAATTAGCTTGAATAGTGTGTTTGCAAAGTGGATCATTCACGGCATGGAAAGAGGTCAGCCACGGCGGAGCTAGGCGGCGGCGCCGGTGTTAGCTCCGCCGCAATGTTCCCTGGCCTCACTAGAATTCTCGGCGGCGCCGCCGCCACCTTTGATGAAGCTTTTGTCCCTCCTTCCGCCTTGCCGCCGCCGCAGGCTAATCAAGAAACTAGCCAAGATCCAGGTCTCTCTCTCTCTCTCTCTCTCGATATATATATATATATATGTTTCTCTCTCTAAATATATATATATATATTGTGTTTGTTGTATGCATAGTCTATGTTACTTTGCGTAAACAACTATCTCACTTCCTCTCTCTCTCTCTCTCTCTCTCTCTTTCTTCATCCTTCTTTCAGCTTAAATTATTATATTAAAATATAATTGAAATAAAAATTTTTGAATCATTATATTTTTAAATATAATATGTAAAATTTATTTCATATAAAAATAAATTAATATATATAATATTATATCAAAAGTAAAACTAACTAATAAATCTGGACAAGGTATAATTTATGAAGAAATTCAATTTCCCTCTATCTGTAACACATTCATCTATTTCTATCTATATATAAATATATACTCCCTATGTCCGTTTCCAATGTCCTATTTGATATTTTTATGCATTTTCAGGTAATTAGAGTTTTTGTTATAAAATAACAAATTTATCCTTAATCTTGTGTATAGAAAATGAAAGAGTAAATAAAGTAAGGGTAAAAGAGTAAATTTTGTGTATAAAAATAAAAAGAGGACAATAATTTTTGGACATTCCAAATAGAAAAGCAAGACCGTTGGGAGTATTATATATATATATATATGTATTTTGGTCAGATATCAAATCTATTCTACCTAACAAAATCGAAATTTTAAAAAATGTATTTTTCTCATGTTCAATAAATAAAAATTTCTTATATATTTTTATATATTTTTACAGAAATTTATTATTTTATCATTACTTTTTCTGCCAGTAACATCCTTAACATCATTTTCAATCATTCAACGCAAATATTTCATTCCATATACACAATAATTCTCACTAAAAAAAATAATTGCACACTAGTATTTAATTATGCAATAATTGAAAAATCACATACTACTTGTGCTTGAATTTATGTGTACTTATTTTAATTTTAATTTTTTTTTATCTAATATATTTTAATTAGGAACCATAAAAAAACACTATCGCGGCGTAAGGCAAAGGCCGTGGGGCAAATGGGCGGCGGAAATCCGCGATCCTAAAAAAGCAGCACGCGTTTGGCTCGGAACATTCGATACGGCTGAAGATGCCGCTTTAGCATACGATGACGCCGCTCTTAAATTCAAAGGAACTAAGGCCAAACTCAATTTTCCCGAGCGTGTCCAAGGCACGCCCGAGTTGCGTTATATTAGTGATCATCCCCAAATCGATATATATAATCAAGGTAATTTTAAAATTTAAATTATCAAAATTTTTGCTACAATTTTTTTTTATTTTTTTAATTATTTTTTTTTGTAATTGATATGTATATACTTACTAATAGTTATTTAATATGATATTTTATATATAAAAAAATTTATTTTTATAAGAATTGAATTAATAATGAAACATTGGGAAAAAAATTATCTAAAGATAGATACATTTCTAATTTTAAAATATATACTAGCTAGTTCGTTCTTAAGAATTATGGATGTATTAGTTATGCTTTGGATTTAAATTTATAAAATCAAAATGAGTAGTTAGATGGAATAATTTTTATATAATTTAAAATATTAAGAATTTGTTTGCCTAATTTTTTATTTTATTTTTTTAGACACGAATTTTAATTTTAATGAAATGTTAAATTATATGGAGTTCGTTCTTTTTTTTTTTTTTGTCGTCTTCGTTTTGTTTTGGTTTTAATTTTTATTTTAATTTAAATAGTATTTTTATATCACGTATTTTGATCCGTTCGAGTCATATATAATTATTTTGTTAGTTTTGTTTGTCCGATTTAAATATATCATTTTTTTAATAAAAATATTTTTTTATTTCAATAAAAACATGTTTCTATATTTTACATAATATTATAAATAATGTTACTAAAGGTAAATTGTTTATTGTTTAATGCTAATATTGTCTTTATATATATTTTTTTTATTGTACTATTATCTATAAAATATTTATATATTTAAATTCATGCGAAAAATCAAATGAATACATAAGATTTGGAAGAATGGAGTATATTATTTTGAGAAAAAAAAATTAAATTATTTCAATTTTTTTTTAAAACTTGTTTAGGTGCACCGGTCGTGGGAGCAAGCTCCGGACCGGGTGTTAGCTCGATGCACGACGCATTCCCGGGGCTTCAACAATACGCGCAGCTGTTGTCTTCGAGCAACGATGCGGAGTTACCTTATTTGACGACGGCTCTTTACGGGAACAATAATAATAATCCGTCGTTCGGGTACGATTATTCGGTTAATTCTTCGTCTCATCAACAACAATATTACAAGGAGAATATTGAGCATAATCAATTTGGAGGATGGGAAGGGGAAGAAGATTATGGCAAGTATTTCGACTATTATAATCAGAATCAATATCACGATCAGAATCAGAATTGAATAATGTAATAATGTATGCATTTTGATATATCCTATCGAGATTTTATGAGCAATTCGATTTTAGATGATAATGATATATATATATATATTTAGTGAGCATGTGTATTTTAAACATGTTTTGTATGTTTAATTTGATATTTTTAAGGAATATATTTACATTTAGTGATGTTTTGAAAGTATTTTTGAATTGTTACTGCTGGATTTGTAAATAATAAAATTTTAAATAAAAAAAAGTGTTTAAAATATGATATGAATATATGTGTTTGAATACGATATTTTGAATAAAAGAATTAAAGTTAAAAAATAGTTTAATAAAAAAATAATTTGAATCTATTTTTTTTTTTTTTTTTGTAGAGAGTAATTTTGTGTGAATAATACAACAATAAATTTGAAATCATAGGTAAACAGGAGGTTTATTTGTTTTGTAAAATAGTTTGAATAAATATTTTTTTATATGAGGTATAAATAATTGTGTATATAATATGAAAATGATAAATATATATTTTTTCTGTTTCAATACAATAGTCTTGTTTACTATTTTTGTCTGTTTTAAAACAATAGTCTCATTTTTATAAATAACCATATCATTATAAAACTACTCACATTTTCATTATTATTACACAATTGTCACTATTTTTTACACTAATACACTCATAAGGCCAAAAAAGTCTTTTACCTGTATTTTTTTTACCCACTATCAATATAATATCAATATTTTTTAAATCTCGTATCAAATACAACCCAGATTATAGTTCTTGGACGAAGGGAGTATAATATTTTAATTTTTTAGAAAAATGTATATGTAACTTTTGAAATTTGTAATTTCAAAAAAAAATTTTTTTTTTCTCATACAATATCATATTAAATATTATTTTAATACTAAATTCACATTAAAACTTTTTTCCAAACAATCAAAAGAAACTTACAATCTAAAATTTTGCTATTCATTAAAAAAAAAAAAAAACAAAGTATAAACTTCACGAACAAACAAAGGTTTTGCTCATTTTGTGTATTTGGATGAATGTATTTTTTTATGTTAAATATAGAAAATTATATTAATAATATAAAAAAATATTTTGTGAATAAATGTAGAATATATTATATATTGTATTTAGCGTCTATATTGCATTTTTAATAATATTTATGAAGAACTGTTCTACCTAAAACACAGAGCGAACAAAGACCTTTTCTTCGTATAAAAGTCTTTAGTCATCTTAGGGTGTTTTTACTATAAAGGATTAAACCTCAATATTTATTAAAATCTGCTACGCTAATATGCTAATTATGAACAATAAATCCTATTTAGACGATGAGGATTAATTTATTCAAGTAATATTTATACTAAAAATCTATTATATCTCATATTTAATTAAATAAAATAAATATTGTACTAATTAATCCCATAATTATTTAATTCATAAATATAATATTATAATTCAATTCTTCAAAATAAATTCACTCCTATTATATAAATATGACAATGAAGTTTTGAATAAAATAAAATTTAACTATATATAGTACTTTTGTATAAAATATTTAAGAATCCATATAAAAATATAGATAGAACATATCTACTTGTGCTATTTTTGGTATTGATACAAAAATATAAATCGAATCATCACTACAAAATAAATGACAATTACTCCCTCTGTCTCAAACACCATGTAACATTTGTGTTTGAGCACGGAAATTTAAGTGGGAAGTATTAAGTATGGTAATTTGAAATAATTTGGATATTAAATGATGTGACTGGAGAGAGAAAAGATTATTTATTTTTTTATTTGAGTGATGTGATGAAATAAAGTGAAATATATATTAATATATGTATATAAATATTATTAATTATTTCTAAATTTAAAAATATTGCAGCGAGTTTGGGACAACAAAAAAGAAAATATTGCAGAGTGTTTGGGACGGAGGGAGTACAATATATACAAATGGGATATGATAATGACTTACTAATAACATGATAATTAAATCCAGCAATTTTTTAATTTACTTTAATATATTGTGTAATCATAATCAATATTAAATAAATAAATAATATACATATAAATTCATTCAACCAATATTCAATATCAAAAAATTTTAATAATAAATTCAACAATTTTTTAATTGTGTTTAAAATTGATTTAAAATGAGATGTTAATTTTTTATTTTCATTTATCCAAATTAAATGTATTTTTTTATATATATTATTGAAAATATATTCCAATTAAATATCATAATATACCTTCTTCTTTTTTTTTTTTTTGTTATTATTATGTCAAGAGAAAAAAAAAAAACTTTATACTTATATATATAAAAAATATTAATATATTTAAATTTGTGTATAAAAATCAAACAAATACATATGACTCATGCAGAAGAATAATTACATAAGTCCTTCAATTTTTCAAATTTATTCTCAATTTCTTTTTATTATCATCTAAATTCTTTTCATTTTTAGTAAAAAAGCATTTTATTCATCTGCTTCATATTTATCTATTGCGTCATTATACTTAACATTAAAAATATTATTATATTTTTGTACAAATATCATTGTATTAGTATTTGTACTTATTTTAATATAATAATTAATATTTAAAAATTAATAATTCAAAACGTAAATGAGATCCTTAGAATCGGACGAAGGTAATACCACTTTTTATTTTTCTTTATTTTAAAAATTAAAATTTTATATATATATATATTTTTTATTTTCTTAAAATTAGATATGTATCTTCAAGTTGAAGCAAGGTTAGGATTTTAATAACATGCATAGGTTTGTAGGCAATGAATCGATGGTGGAGATTTTTCCATATACTTTGTCAGCATGCAAACAAATCTCTAGAAGCCCAAAAAGAATTTATATATTAATTCCTTCTTTTGGAAAATAATAAAAATAAAAATAAAAAAGAAACCTTAAAGTAACAGAAAATAAATAAATAAATAAATGTAAGGTTTCAAGTAATGCAGAATTTAGGGCCTACAAACACAACTGTTACTCAACCATGCGTGACTAAATTTAATTATTATCGTAATGTTCCAAAAAAACATCATGAAAAAATAAAAACATAAATCCAATCATTGTCCTAACTTACCACATAAAAAATCAGGCTTCTTTAAAATAAAATTAAATATTTGCTCTCTTCATTTACTAATTATATATTTTGCTATTTTTATTGTTTAAATATATATATATATATATATATATTAGTATATACTCCCTCTGTCCAACTAGAAATTATACATATTTCTATTTCGGGATATACGATTACAAAATAACAATTTTATTAAATACCCTATTTTTTCCACAAATAACCCTACTTTACATCACATCGTTACTTTTATACCAAAAAAGTAAAGGCAAAAATGTCATTTCACTACTTTTACCTACACACTATAATTAAAATACTATTATTCCTTAATCTCCGCGCCAAAAATAAATGTATACTTTTAGCTTGGACGGAGTGAGTATATCTTACAAGTACTTTCAGATAAAGGTGTATTTGTTTGGAGGTTTGAATTTTTAGTTGTGATTTGAATAGTAAAAATTTTGTATTTTAATAGTTATATGATGTGATATAAATAGATGTTCATATCATGTTTTGAATGTAATTGATTTTTAGTATAATATAAAAAAATAAAAAATAGGTGTTTGATTTGATATTTTTGGAAAAAAAAAATTGGATGAATAGTAAATTGAAAATTCAATCCCCCAAACAAACACACCTATATATATTTATTTATATCAATCAATTTGTTCACCCAACATTTTTTAATAAACTAATTTTTTATAAATATTATTAAAAAATTCAAATATTCGCACACATTAAAATAATATATACAATATTTACTCATAAAAAAAATCAACAATTCATCACAAAATATTATTTTTTATATTACCAACACAGTTCTACATATTACACACAAAAATTCAATTTATCTAAAAATGCTAAATGAACAGATTGAATATCTTTATATTAATCGGGGTAAAATAATTTTTATATACAAAAAATATTACTTCCTCCATCCCACTTAAATTGTCCTCTTTAGATTAAGTACAGAGTTTTAGATATTGGATAATTAATAAGTAATTAAGAAATATATTAGTAAAAATAATTATAATTTAATAAAAATAATTCTATATTAAAATTAATATAGCTAAATAGTTTAATTATAATAAAAAAATTATAAACTATGAATTTTTAATGTGATTAAAGTATATAATTTTATTTCTAAAAAGAGAAATAATAAATTATATGGAACGAATGAAAATAAAAATAATAGATAAATTAAGTGTGACAGATGGAGTATTAAAATATAATATTTATTGAATTTTATATAAAAAAGTAAATATATACTTTCGAAGTGGGCGAAGGAGGAGGGTATGTTTTTATTTAAAATATTATAATTCTTATTTAATATATATCATTTCATATTAAAAATTCATCTTGATTTGAATCTTTATTAATACAAAATTGTGTATTTTATTTTTAAACAATAATAAAAAAATAATATTTTGTAAAATTAAATAATTATAAATAGCACAATTAAAAATTACTCCATCCGTTCCATGTAATATGAGTGTATTACCGTACACACTAGAATTTAAGTAAAATATAATTAGTAAGTAATTAAGAAATATATTAGTAAAAATAATTATAGATTAAGATTAAAAAATTTAAATTTTAAATTTTAAAATATAATTAAAGTGTATAATTAATTTTCTAAAAAAAAATAAAAAATTATGTGGGACAAATAAAAATTAAAAATAGAAACAAATTATGTGGGACAGAGAGAGTAGGAACTAGAGCCAAAGAAGCATGACGATGCCATTGTAATGAAACAGTATTTGAACCTAATTCTAAAATAATTATGGATTTATTTTATTAATTAATTGGTTCAATAAATTCTATAAAAAAAATTATAAAACTACTATAAATAAACTAATTAACATTTATAGCATATTTAATAAATTTACATAATTAAATTAAACAAAATTCGATCAAAAGATATGTATCCATTTAAATTTTTTTAAAAAAATAATAATAATAATAATAAAATATTAAAAATATAATTATATAATTAGAGAATATTCTATTGTGTGTTGTAAAGTCAACATCGTCAAAGATTTCAACGATTGGGAGATTACGCGTGCAAAATTAAAGGGGTCTCTTTGGTGG